CCGGGACTCGCTGGGACCTGTGGGACCCGCGGGCAGCTGCAGCCGGGCCGGGTGGAGCCGGGCGGAGCCGGGCTGGACATCCATGGGCCATCGGACCGCATCGGACTGCCAATGAGTGCGAGAGAGAAAGGAGCGGAGGGGGAATGGGCGCGAAGAGGAGGGGGGAGCGAGCGGAGGACGAAAGTGTCGCCTCCCAGGCCAGGGCTGGGCGGCCTGCCGCCTGCTCCAGGAGTCTGGCTACCAGTCCGCATACCAAGGTGCGTGGTGGGAAGGAGATAGAAACAGGGTAAAAAAATAATGAAAATGGAAAAAAAAAAGGTACGCGGATTCGAACCCGGGCGTACGAGAAAGTATTTTGCTCGGCACGCTGGGCACGGAAGCTTGTGTCGCTCTTTCACTTCCACTTCCTTGAGCGAAACCGAGCGCGCCTTCGCAGAGGTAAGAAACGTAATGCTCGTTGAAAGTGAGTCTCAAACCGCGTTGATCCCCAACATTGTTCATTGTACCATTATTTTCTCGGGGTTGCTGCCTGATCTGCCGTGTGGCTGATTCGCCCAGACTGCACCACATGCAGTGCGGAAGTGCGGGTTATGGTATTTCATACCCGGTACCCGGTGGTAGCACCTCCGTAGGAACTCAGGAGCAGCCATAGGAAACTCGACATCGCCTCTCAGAACCTGTTGAATGCCACGGCGGCCGGGTGCACGGTATAGAAATGAATGCCCGTCCATTCCAATGAAGCGCGTGTAGCACCGGCCGGTTACAAATGGCTGAATTGCCCCACCCCGCCCCGCCCCGCTGATCCGGTAGCCCGGCGGTAGCCGAACCCAAAGCTCACTCCCCTTTTCACTTCTTTCTCTGCCGGCTTTTCCGCTCCTTGGTCGGCGGCACGGCCGGGAGAGAAAAGATGTGATTGCGCTGATGCCGCGTCTGATAGTGAAAAGGCTGGTCCGTGAGCTAGTCCGACAAGCGTGTGGGCGCGGCGGCGCGCGGGCGCAGCCAAGGCACCGCAGGCGCAGCGGGGCCCAGCGCAGCGCAGCGGGAAATTGACAAAACCGCGATATCCTCCAAACTAACGAAACGAGTCGGCGGCGGCGGCGGCAGCAGCTCCTTTCTTTGTACCGCTAACAACTTTACCTGCCCGGCTGGGCCCGGCCCGCGAGCGATCAAATTAAGTGCCCGGTGCGCTCGCGCGCGGGGCCCGGCGTGGGGTGGCGGGGCCGCAGCCCAATGGTGGACCAGGCGTGGAGGAAAGTCTAAGCCGGCCGATACGATGCGCAAGGTGAGACTGCAGTGTGCCTGCCTGGTCATTCATTGCACAGCGCGGGGGGCGGGGGAGGGA